AGCCCGACGCGGGGCTCGATCCCAGGACCCCGGGATCATGACCTGAGCCGAAGGCAGACGCTTAACCATCTGAGCCACCCAGGCGCCCCATAAGCATTTGTTTTCTTTAACCAATTCTACTCCTCGGTCTGCAAAGCAACGGAAGTACCTTCTGCCATTTTCCTGGAAGATTCCTACTAGTAAGGGTAGTAGAGTACAGACTCCCTACTTCAGACTGACTCACCTCTGTCCCGGAAGGCAAGGACTGTCCTTACCCTTCGTAGTGAGCTGAGAAACCAGCCCTGATTGGCAGCATTTATGTCTTTCTGTGATATAAATCACTCCTACCATGGCTACTATCAAGCTACCAATGGTTCTGCAGCTGGCGTAATTCCTGAAAGTTGAACAGTTTCAAGAGCCCTATGGTAGGAGCTAGCCCAGCACACCACTGCCACTGTGTAGCTCTAGGTTTGAAATAGTGCCTGGCAAATATGCTTGTTAAGTGAACTTACATAGAGAAGCAGAGGGAAAAACAAGGATATACCATCCAATTCCTGGCATTAAAGGCTGTCCCACTGGCTACAGGAGTGAAGTACACATGGGAAGTCAGCAAGTGCTAACCTCCTTAGGCCTTCATGGGGCTTCCATTTCTAGTGGGTCACATGTGGACGGAGGCAGTCTCCACTGCCCCCTGCTCTCCCCCTGCACATTCTCCTATGCCTTTCCACTTTAGATCCCAGTGGCTGCTCACGTTTCTTCTCATTTTCTCTCCTGCTTCATTTCTTTTCAAGTGTCTTACATTCTGTTCAATTTGCTTTTGTTTCAGTAATGCCTACCCAAATAAAGGCTGGAAGAGGATCAGATGTGAGGCTGGATGCCTTCCCGGATCCAATGCATTCTTATCTTTTAGAGCCCCTTCATACTTTGTCGTTGTTGTTTTTAGTAGGCTCTATGCCCAACATGGGGGTCAAACTCACAACCCCTAGATCAAGAGACAGAGCCTGCTAGGTGCCCCCATCCCAGCTTAATACATTTTAAAGATGCACAACTCTAGATACCTGAAATCCCAATGTTAGAGAGGCCTTTGTGGATTCTAGCCTTTTCTCAGTACTCAGAACCTATGTATTGCTGATAGAACCTCTCTAAAACTTCTTTAGACCCAAACCAGAACACAGATATGGTCAGCATCTTAAAAAAAGAAGTAGAGGGATGAGGTGTAAGTGGTACTGCTAATTTTGTTTAGAAACTGATCTCAATTCATCTGGGACAAGTCACTGCCTCCCTAAGTGCAACCGTATCACAGAAACTGACCTCCCTGAAAGGAATCATCTGCACTCTGTGTTCTTGATCAGACTCCCCCGTGTCTAGACCAAGAGAAGAGCCCATGAAACTTTCATTAGGATAGCCTGTATTTGTTCTCATGACTGTGTTAAATTAAAATGTCTCCCCAAAAATACAGACCCTGACCTGTGTATTCTGTTCCAGAAGCCACTGAAGAAGTTGTTGATGCATTTTCCCAGTCCTTCTCCCCGTTTCGACTGCCGCAACGACTTGGAGACAAGAAGCCTTCTACAGACTCGGATCTAAATGGTAAATAAAACATTTTTTATGTCTCAAACAGAAGACTATTTGGGGGTCAGAAGGGATATATGTGAAAGTACCAACCAAAATCAACCTAGAAGCTTAAAAATCAAAAGCTGGTGTAGCTGCCTTATTCCAGCTATACATCCAAGTGCCTGGACGCAACGGGCACTCCGTACGTACCTGCTCACTGAGAGGATCAGTGTTTTCCCACGTGAAAACTGGCAATTACTGCAACAGGATGGTGATACAAAGATCACAGCTCAGAACTCATGCCTGTCACTACACACATTCTCTTTCTATATGGGTATTAGAGTGTGACATAATGAAACAGAACTTCAGTTTCTAATCTACATCCAAGAGAGACAGTACAAAAGGGATTTTTCCCAAGTTAGGCAGCCTACTTTGGAATTATTCTGGGGGGGAAAGTAGAGAGGCTGGCACTTATATAGATGATGTGCTATTTCTGCACACTATGATTTTACCACAACCATGTCAGCAATTACTGTTAATGTTTTATAGTTTATAAAAAGTATCTTATCAATGTCAGTAATCATAAAAGATAAAGAACAGTCAAATATGAATAGCCTCTTTATACATAAACTTATTTTAACAGAAACACAAACAGTCCCAGTCAGCAAAACTATAAAAATTTGTTATTCATTCATTATAAAATACAACATAATTGCTGGAAACATTCTTTTCTGTGAAAAATGTTCACATTATGGATTTACCTTGGTGTCCTCTTGCCTGAATGCACACTCTCGTTATCACCTGTGTTCAGTGATGCCAAAGAAAGGCTAGAGACTGAAAAAACACGATAAATTCGTGATCCTGAATAAAAACAAAATTAGAAATTTAAAAGGAGCAACTAGAAAAGAGTCTGTTCATTAGATAACACCAGCATATGAAAACTGAGCTTCTGTAGTTTCTTTTTTTTTTACTTTTACTCTAAACACATAGTATGCTTGCATGCATATATGCACAATTTATTTAAAATTAGCAGTGTACCTACTTTTAAGAAATAATGATAAAACTAATTGCTGTTAGGATTTATTCCAAAAGGAAAGTGGTTAATATGAGACACTGATATTGTAACTGTAAGAAAAAAGTTAACAAAAGAAATTAACAAAAAGAATAAAATATATTTAGGAATATTTAATTCCTATGTGGGAAATTAATTTACTAATTTTAGCCAGTACTAGGTATCAAAAAATTCTGTTGGCTAGAAAAGGCAGAGTTCTCTTTAAACAGTCAATGTTATATTATTTTTCCTCAGTTTTAAAGTAACTATGGGAATTTTCTAAAGTTTTCCATGGGGTTTAGTTTTAATAAAATATATATTTTTTTAAAAAGTGAGTATGTGTGCTGAATTTTAGGATACGTTCTCTCAACTCCAAAAATTATAGATTTGGACATTTGACCATTTCTGTCTTAAAGGAGGGACTCATGAACCCTTGCTTTTATATTCCTTATTATACCAATGTGTTTATGTATTTCCGTGCATACAATGTTTATCCTTAAATGGACAAGTATGGAAATGGTATTAACAATTCAGAGAGATTATATCTGAGGGCAGAGTTCCCTGATAGGTTAGTATTTATACTGGATGCTTTAGCACTCACACTGGCTCTACTGAATATATGCATGCACACATAACACACTTAAGTCATAAAAAACATTTGCTCATTTTGGTTTTACAAATTAGGAGCATGCATCATCTCAAATTGTGTATCCAATTTAGCATACCAAAGCACAGTCGAGTTAGTATGACAAACCAGGCTGGTGTTTTTTTATGAACAGACTCTTCATAATAAGCTGTGTTACCTGGAGGACCTTTTATTGGTGTTTTGGGAGACTCGATATGATCTCTGTGAATAGATTTTGGGCGCTGTTTTTTTTGTTTTGCTATTTGAGGACGGGGTTTAATTACTGTATCCATGTCTTCCATTAGTTTCAGTTGTTTTCGCCTCATATACTCCTGTCTGATAAATTCTCTGCGCGCTTTCTCATCTTCCTTCTTCTGACGCTCTTCCTCAGTTTTACGCCTAAGAAACCAAATGGTTGAATTTCTTATTCTGCACACTAAAGAGGGAGTATGGCTTTGATGCGAGAAGGGAGAATTATTACATTTCAGCACCTTGGGAAAAAATGGTTTGTTTAAAATACGCTTGAGATAATTTAGATCATTAAAATACACATAAACATACCATTAGTAAATGACTGCTTTTAAAAAATATGTGTGTAAAAACCAGTGAAGTTTTTTTAAATTAATGTTTCTGGAGAACATTACTTTGAAATGCCTCAAACTTAGGATAAAAATGTACAAGCGACCAATACTTTGGGAAAATAAATTAACTTGTAAAGAGCACCAGAAATCAGCATTAATTCAGTTGTCTCCATACGCTGCAAACGTCTGAACAAGCTGTTAAGTATCCCTGAGAAAGCACAGCCCAGCTGCATACCCTCAGCACTCAGATCCAGGGCCGGCACGGCCCTAGCCTTTACCTCGTTTCCTCTTTCTTATGCTCCATCTCTGCTTCCAGCTGCTGTTTCCGAAGCTGAGTCTCCTTCTCCCTCCGCAGTCGTTTCTCCAGCAAAGCTGCCCGTTTCATTGCCATATCATTTTCTGCTTTTTGGTCATCCTAAGCATGGATTTCATTGAAAAACGTGTAATGTTGTGTGCACCAATATTCTCATTTTCAATTGTGGTCACATTTATAACTGAAAATTCAAACTATCTAGTCATCCTTATTCCAATCCCACCGTATGTGGACATGTTCCAGAAATTATGAAGGAAGAAGTGAATCAGGGGCGCCTGGGTGGCTCAGTCGGTTAAGTGTCTGCCTTCAGCTCAGGTCACTCAGTGGGGAGTCTGCTTCTCCCTCTGACCCTCCCCCCCACCCTTGTGCGCTCTCTCAAATATTTTTTTTAAAAAAGGTGAATTAAAGTGGTAACAGTTCTATCAACTACCAAAGGACACTTAAACTTACTTAATAACATGTTTACAAAACCTAGGAAGTTTGCAAAGAACAACCGTAATGAGGAAAAAAAAAAGGGGGTGGAGGTTTTTTTTAAAACTCTAATAAATAACTTAAAAGCAGGGAGTTTTCCCTCAATTTTAAAAATTGCATTCAAACTAGGGCACCTGGCTGGCTCAATCGGAAGAGCACACGACTCTTGATCTTAGCGTCATGAGTTTGAGCCCCATGTTAGGTGTGGAGATTACTTAAAAATAAAATCTTTTTAAAAATTGCATTAAAAATTGTATTTAAAATACATGCTCAATAAAGAAAACTCAAGTAAAAGTACCCAAAAATTAGCTATATGGTTATATCACATAAATGAAACCACTGCCACATGACAGAATGGACATGAAGGTACAGATATGCTGCCTGTTTCACCCTGAAGGATTCTCTCCCTTCCGTTTTCCTTTCTCTGCAAGGAACAGAGGTAGCCAGGGTCTCTAAAATTAGTAAACTGTATCTACTCATGTCTACAGTAGCATTCTATTAAAAATTAGTCATTTTACATGGCTAAGAGACTAAACATGACTCACGTTCAAATTTCTAAACTTTAAAAGGGGCTAAAGGGCAATCACCCTGAGAACAACTTTAAAATAAGTTACAAATTTCCAATATTAAATGAGCAAAAGTAAAACTAGCGATTGTAATCACTTCAGTATTCTTAGGTTCTTATTCCAGTAGGACTGCTGTTTTTATTTAAAATCTTAAATTATAAACTGATGCTGTTGAGTGTTTTTTTCCTCTGTATTCCAAATTGTGGAGCTAGACAGGATCAGAGATGATCTTTAGTTCCTTAATTAAAAAAAGAAACAAGAGTAACACATCCACATGTTTCTGATTATTAAAAAAATATTCTTTCCTATAGGTAATTTGGAAAATACAGGAAAACAAAGATGAAGAAATGGGTAATTAGGAGAAAAATTTAAAAATACTAAGCTCTTGTTTTTCTAATACCTATGATAAATTTTAAGATCTTGACCATCAAAAGGTGATATTGTTCAATATTTGTGTTGGCTGGCTACAGTATGTTGTATACAATATCAATACTGAGATTAGGAGTCATATGCTAGACCTTTATCCAATGCTTTTAAAAGGAGCTATTTCTGTTCAAACTATATATGTTACTTTTAAATGTTTCACCTTGTAAGATTATGTCTGGTCAATTTTTTAAAAAGATTTTTAAGATTTTTATTTTTATTTATTTGTCAGAGAGCAAGCACAAGCAGGGGGAGTGGCAGGCAGAGGGAGGAGGAGGGTCCCTGTGATGCAGGACTCGATCCCAGGACCCTGGAATCATGACCTGAGCCAAAGGCAGACACTTAACCAACTGAGCTACCCAGGCATCCCTTAAAAAATTTTTTAACAAAACACAAAAGGAAAGAAAATTTAAAAAAAACTAAAATATTCTTACATGCAATGCCAAATTATGTGCTTTTTACAAACTGACAACTCTTGGAAGAGATCCAAATAGCTTAACATTTTTTTAAAAGGCTTTTGTAAAAGCAAGCAAGAGAGGCAGAGGAACAAAAACAGCATATCTAAACATGTACCATGACCTTGGTGAAAGGAAGACTGTTCAGTGTGCTTGGATGTTACTACAGTCCACCAAGGGGAGCCCCAAAATATATTTCAGGGTTAGTGGCAGGCTTGTAACAAAAGGGACTACTTTTAAAAGATGTAAGCACATCAACTAAAACCAAACCCATCTAATGATGATGCCCAAAACGATGAAGATTAGTATTACCTTAAAAAAGAATCCACAGCATACTTTCTGGTCATCATCAAATTGTTCTTTATCACTTTCTCCATCATATTTTTCAACAGATACATCAGCCTTTTCAGGAGGTTTCAGATCTGAGAGGGAAACTTCAATCAGGTTAACATTTTTAGGAGCAGCAGGTGGGAAAACAGGTTTAGGAGGAGGCTCTGCAGGCAGGTTCAGCTGGTCCTCATTTGGCGTCAGTCGGATGGTCTCTGTGATAG